TAGACCCTCCAGTACACCCCAGCAGCCGGCATCAATAGACCCTCCAGTACACCCCAGCAGCCGGCATCAATAGACCCTCCAGTACACCCCAGCAGCCGGCATCAATAGACCCTCCAGTACACCCCAGCAGCCGGCATCAATAGACCCTCCAGTACACCCCAGCAGCCAGCATCAATAGACCCTCCAGCACACCCCAGCATCAATAGACCCTCCAGCACACCCCAGCATCAATAGACCCTCCAGCACACCCCAGCAGCCGGCATCAACAGACCCTCCAGCACACCCCAGCAGCCAGCATCAACAGACCCTCCAGTACACCCCAGCATCAATAGACCCTCCAGCACACCCCAGCATCAATAGACCCTCCAGCACACCCCCAGCAGCCGGCATCAACAGACCCTCCAGCACACCCCCAGCAGCCAGCATCAACAGACCCTCCAGTACACCCCAGCATCATAGACCCTCCAGCACACCCCAGCAGCCAGCATCAACAGACCCTCCAGCACACCCCAGCAGCCAGCATCAACAGACCCTCCAGCACACCCCAGCAGCCAGCATCAACAGACCCTCCAGCACACCCCAGCAGCCGGCATCAATAGACCCTCCAGCACACTCCAGCAGCCAGCATCAATAGACCCTCCAGCAGCCAGCATCAATAGACCCTCCAGCACACCCCAGCATCAACAGACCCTCCAGCACACCCCCAGCATCAATAGACCCTCCAGCACACCCCAGCAGCCGGCATCAACAGACCCTCCAGCACACCCCAGCAGCCAGCATCAATAGACCCTCCAGCGACAATAGAACCCCCAGCAGCCGGCATCAATAGACCCTCCAGCACACCCCAGCAGCCGGCATCAATAGACCCTCCAGCACACCCCAGCAGCCGGCATCAATAGACCCTCCAGCACACCCCAGCAGCCGGCATCAATAGACCCTCCAGCACACCCCAGCAGCCGGCATCAATAGACCCTCCAGCACACCCCAGCAGCCGGCATCAATAGACCCTCCAGCACACCCCAGCAGCCGGCATCAATAGACCCTCCAGCACACCCCAGCAGCCGGCATCAATAGACCCTCCAGCACACCCCAGCAGCCGGCATCAATAGACCCTCCAGCACACCCCAGCAGCCGGCATCAATAGACCCTCCAGCAGCCGGCATCAATAGACCCTCCAGCAGCCGGCATCAATAGACCCTCCAGCAGCCGGCATCAATAGACCATCCAGTACACCCCAGCATCAACAGACCCTTCAGCACACCCCAGCAGCCGGCATCAATAGACCATCCAGTACACCCCAGCATCAACAGACCATCCAGTACACCCCAGCATCAACAGACCCTCCAGCACACCCCAGCACCCCTCGCCATTACATATATTCAGCCCGGGTTCACGCTGATGCGGTGCAGCCACACTGCATGTGATTCATACAGGAACGATATCTATGCGGTGCGATTTGAGCCACACATTTGTTTGGACCCTTTGTTTCCCAGCACCTGATTTGCATCATATGGGTGTTCACCCCCCCCCCCCCATGCGATGTGAATTCTGGTAATCGCACTGCGTTTTGCGGTCTGTTTCGGGGTGTCGTTTAACATTGACACCCGTACCAGCTTGTACAGACGCCGTGCGATGCAGGAAAAACATAGGGATCGCTGCGTGTCCCGCACCACATCAGTGTGAACCCGGGCTTAATGCTGGGGGTTCCGGAGCCGTGTGTCCCACATCACATCAGTGTGAACCAGGGCTTAATGCTGGGGGTGCCGGAGCCGCGTTCCCCCTACAAAGTAAAAAAAAACCTACAAAAACCCCCCAAAACATTGCTGTTTCATATCCGGTTAGGATATACTTTAATTAGAATATGAAATGATTCTGTACAACAATTGGATTACATTTCCTTCACCCTCTTCTCCTATTGGACAATGTGCCCACCAATCACAGAATGTGGTGGGAGAAACGAATTTTACAGGAAAAGTTCCAGATTTGACCCCCGGTTCACATCTGTGCGGGTGGTGCCGCTGTTTATCCACAAGAAAATCCGTGCAGCCGCACCACCCGCACAGAGGAATGCAGTCCCGTGGGGGGTGGCATTAGTTCTAATGGCACGCCCCCCCGCACTGGGAAACACAACCGTACTGGGAACCTCAGCTGTGTTCTCCAAAGAAGTGCCGGGACTTCATTCCCTGCGTGTCACGGCACGGGAGTTCATTCAAATGCATGGGCTCTCGTTCCCGTGAAAAACGTGGCACGCGCGGCCACATAGATGTAAACGGGGGGGGGGGGGGGGGGGGAATGAACATTCAGCTTCTCCTATTTCTGACATTATTTATGTCGGGGAACGTCTGGTTCTGTATTTTCCATCACACATTCAGGTTAGATTGTCCACTTTTTATGACCGATCCACGTCTGCCATCGGCGACCGATCCACGTCTGACTTCCGTGTCCTTTTTGATGGTTTGCAGGAAGCTGGATGCGATTTCTCCCTTGGATGACCTGGCCTTCGACATGTACCAAGATCCAGAAGTGGCCCAAATAATCCGCAAGCTGGATGAGAAGAAGCACGAGGCCGTCCGCCACGAACGCTACGACTACGCCAAGAAGCTGAAACAAGCGATTGCTGACCTGCAGAAGGTAACGATCGGCTCTGACAATCTGGTCATGGTCCGGATTGTATTCCACGTCAGTGGGGTTGTCTCTGAGCTAGAATTAACCGTTTCTGCTCCGCCTATATCAGAACTACAGGGCGGCACGGTGCGCCCAATCACGTGTGTGTGTGTGTGTGTGTGTGTATATATACAGTGGGGATGGAAAGTTTGGGCACCCCAGCTAAAAATGTGTATTAATGTGCATAAAGAAGCCAAGGAAAGATGGAAAACTCTCCAAAAGGCATCAAATTACAGATTAGACATTCTTATATTATGTCAACAAAAGTTAGATTTTATTTCCATCATTTACACTTTCAAAATAACAGAAAACAAAAAAAATGGCGTCTGCAAAAGTTTGGGCCCCCTGCAGAGTTAATATCTTGTACTGCCCCCTTTGGCAAGTATCACGGCTTGTAAACACTTTTTGTAGCCAGCCAAGAGTCTTTCAATTCTTGTTTGAGGTATCTTTGCCCATTCTTCCTTACAAAAGTCTTCCAGTTCTTTGAGATTTCTGGGCTGTCTGTCACGCACGGCTCTTTTAAGGTCTATCCATAGATTTTCAATGATGTTGAGGTCAGGAGATTGTGAAGGCCATGGCAAAACCTTCAGTTTACGCCTCTTGATGTAATCCCCCGTGGATTTCGAGGTGTGTTTAGGACCATTATCCATTTGTAGAAGCCATCCTCTCTTTAACTTCAGCTTTTTCACAGATGGCATCAAGTTACCATCCAAAATTTGCTGAAATTTTATTGAATCCATTTTTCCTTCTACTCGTGAGATGTTCCCTGTGCCACTGGCTGCAACACAACCCCAAAGCATGATTGATCCAACCCCATACTTCACAGTTGGACAGAGGTTCTTTTCATTCAATTCTGTGCCCCTTCTTCTCCAAACGTACCTTTGCTCATTCCGGCCAAAAAGTTCAATTTTAACCTCGTCGGTCCACAGAACTTGTTTCCAAAATGCATCAGGCTTGTCTATATGTTCATTTGCAAAGTTCAAGCGATGATTTTTGTGGTGAGGACGTAGAAGAGGTTTTCTTCTGATGACTCTTCCATGAAGACCATATTTGTACAAGTATCTCTTTATAGTGGAATAGTGACCACAACTCCAGTGTCTGCCAGATCTTTCTGGAGGGATCGTGCCGTCAAACGTGGGTTTTTAATTGTTTTTCTCACAATCCTGCGAGCTGTTCTGTCTGATATTTTTCTTGGTCTTCCAGATCTTGCTTTAACTTCCACTGTTCCTGATGACTGCCATTTCTTAATGACATTCCGAACAGAGGATATTGACTTCTGAAAACGCTTTGCTATCTTCTTATAGCCTTCTCCAGCTTTGTGAGCGTCAATTATTTTCAGTTTCAGTTTTCTAGACAACTGCTTAGAAGAACCCATGGTGCTGATTGTTGGGGCAAGGTCAGATGAGTCGGGGCATTTAAAACCTTTGAGATTGACATCACCTGGTCTTCCCAGACGATGATTGAGAGAACAATCCATGACACTGGCAGGTCTCAGCTTGGCAAAGGGGGCAGTGCATGCTATAAATTCTGCAGGGTGCCCAAACTTTTGCAGACGCCATTTTTTTTGTTTTCTGTTATTTTGAAAGTGTAAATAATGGAAATAAAATCTAACTTTTGTTGACATATTATAAGAATGTCTAATCTGTAATTTGATGCCTTTTGGAGATTTTTCCATCTTTCCTTGGCTTCTTTATGCACATTAATACACATTTTTAGCTGGGGGGCCCAAACTTTCCATCCCCACTGTATGTGTATATATATATATGTGTGTGCGTGATTTTGCAGTTCCGGTTAGGGGTGCCGCCATTCGCAGCCTCGGCTGTCAATCACCCGGTCCTGGCCGGTGGTTCCCCACCAGCACCCCGGCTATCTCCGAGGATCACCGATGGGGGACAGACCTGGATGTATATCGATCTCTCCCCTGTCAGCTCCTTCGCATTGCTCTATCGATAAATCCTCTTATTTCTCTCTTCTGCAGGTGGGGGAGCGGCTCGGCCGCTATGAAGTAGAGAAGCGATGTGCCGTGGAGAAGGAAGACTATGACTTGGCCAAGCAGAAGAAGCAGCAGATGGAAGAGTATCGACAAAAAGTCTATCAACAGTTGGAGCTCCACGATCTCCTGGACATCGCTCTGGTATGTGTCGGCATAGAAAGGCGGATACTTCCTGTTGGTGTAGTGAATGCGGGGTCCGGGGAGAGCGGATATAGTGAATGCGGGGTCCGGGGAGAGCGGATATAGTGAATGCGGGGTCCGGGGAGAGCGGATATAGTGAATGTGGGGTCCGGGGAGAGCGGATATAGTGAATGTGGGGTCCGGGGAGAGCGGATATAGTGAATGTGGGGTCCGGGGAGAGCGGATATAGTGAATGCGGGGTCCGGGGAGAGCGGATATAGTGAATGCGGGGTCCGGGGAGAGCGGATATAGCGAATGCGGGGTCCGGGGAGAGCGGATATAATGAATGTGGGGTCCGGGGAGAGCGGATATAGTGAATGCGGGGTCCGGGGAGAGCGGATATAGTGAATGCGGGGTCCGGGGAGAGCGGATATAGTGAATGTGGGGTCCGGGGAGAGCGGATATAATGAATGCGGGGTCCGGGGAGAGCTGATATAGTGAATGCGGGGGTCCGGGGAGAGCGGATATAATGAATGCGGGGTCCGGGGAGAGCGGATATAGTGAATGCGGGGTCCGGGGAGAGCGGATATAGTGAATGTGGGGTCCGGGGAGAGCGGATATAATGAATGCGGGGTCCGGGGAGAGCGGATATAGTGAATGTGGGGTCCGGGGAGAGCGGATATAATGAATGTGGGGTCCGGGGAGAGCGGATATAGTGAATGCGGGGTCCGGGGAGAGCGGATATAGTGAATGCGGGGTCCGGGGAGAGCGGATATAGTGAATGCGGGGTCCGGGGAGAGCGGATATAATGAATGCGGGGTCCGGGGAGAGCGGATATAGTGAATGCGGGGTCCGGGGAGAGGGGATATAGTGAATGTGGGGTCCGGGGAGAGCGGATATAATGAATGCGGGGTCCGGGGAGAGCGGATATAGTGCACTCTTCGTTACTCCTGACCTCTGCATTACCACTGGATTCTGTGTTACAATAGAAGTATGGGAAACATCATCTTTTTTTTTTTTAAACACTTTCCCCCCCCTTCCAGTCCGGACGCCTTCACCCCCCCCCCCCCCTTCCAGTCCGGACACTTTCCCCCCCCTTCCAGTCCAGACACTTTCCCCCCCCTTCCAGTCCGGACACTTTCCCCCCCCTTCCAGTCCGGACACTTTCCCCCCCCTTCCAGTCCGGACACTTTCCCCCCCCCCTTCCAGTCCGGACACTTTCCCCCCCCTTCCAGTCCGGACACTTTCCCCCCCCCTTCCAGTCCGGACACTTTCCCCCCCCTTCCAGTCCGGACACTTTCCCCCCCCCTTCCAGTCCGGACACTTTCCCCCCCCTTCCAGTCCGGACACTTTCCCCCCCCTTCCAGTCCGGACACTTTCCCCCCCCCACTTCCAGTCCGGACACTTTCCCCCCCCTTCCAGTCCGGACACTTTCCCCCCCCCCTTCCAGTCCGGACACTTTCCCCCCCCTTCCAGTCCGGACACTTTCCCCCCCCTTCCAGTCCGGACACTTTCCCCCCCCTTCCAGTCCGGACACTTTCCCCCCCCTTCCAGTCCGGACACTTTCCCCCCCCCCCATCCAGTCCCCACTTTCCCCCCCTTCCAGTCCGGACACTTTCCCCCCCCTTCCAGTCCGGACACTTTCCCCCCCCTTCCAGTCCGGACACTTTCCCCCCCCTTCCAGTCCGGACACTTTCCCCCCCCCCCTTCCAGTCCGGACACTCCCCCCCCCCCCCCCCCCCTTCCAGTCCGGACACTTCCCCCCCCCCCCCCCCCCTTCCAGTCCGGACACTTCCCCCCCCCTTCCAGTCCGGACACTTCCCCCCCCCCCCCCCCCCATCCAGTCCGGACACTTCCCCCCCCCCCCCCCCACCCTTCCAGTACGGACACTCCCCCCCCCCCCCCCCCCCCTCCAGTCCGGACACTTCCCCCCCCCCCCCCCTTCCAGTCCGGACACTTCCCCCCCCCCCCCCCCCACTTCCAGTCCGGACACTTCCCCCCCCCCCCCCCCCCCCCCCCCCCCCCCCCCCCCCCCCCCCCCCCCCCTCCAGTCCGGACACTTTCACCCCTTCCTGCCCCCAGGCCAATTTTCAGCTTTCAGCGCTGTCACACTGTGACAATTGCACGGTCATGCAACACTGTACCCATATGAATTTTTTTTAGCATTTTCTTGACAGATAAAACTTTATTTAGGTGGTATTTATTCACTGCTGGGATTTTTATTTTTTTGCTATATAAAATGAAAAAGTCCACACATTTTAAAAAAAGTGGTGTTTTTTTTTTTTTTTGCAAATAAATAACCTTTCTTCATAAATCTTGGGCACAATGTATTCAGCTATCTTTATTTTTATTCCTGCAGCCATTGAGAAATACTGTGTGAGCTGTGATTGGTCACAGCTTGTCACAAGGTACAAGGCTGTTGTGAATGTCCCTGTACCATGTGATCTCTGTGACCCCTGCACTGTGCTTAATTACTACTGACCCCTGCACTCTGTGTTACATAATACTGACCCCTGCACTCTGTGGTACATAATACTGACTCCTGCACTCTGTGGTACATAATACTGACCCCTGCACTCTGTGTTACATAATACTGACCCCTGCACTCTGTGTTACATAATACTGACCCCTGCACTCTGTGTTACATATTACTGACCCCTGCACTCTGTGTTACATAATACTGACCCCTGCACTCTGTGTTACATAATACTGACCCCTGCACTCTGTTACATAATACTGACCCCTGCACTCTGTGGTACATAATACTGACCCCTGCACTCTGTGTTACATAATACTGACCCCTGCACTCTGTGTTACATAATACTGACCCCTGCACTCTGTTACATAATACTGACCCCTGCACTCTGTGGTACATAATACTGACCCCTGCACTCTGTGTTACATAATACTGACCCCTGCACTCTGTGTTACATAATACTGACCCCTGCACTCTGTGTTACATATTACTGACCCCTGCACTCTGTGTTACATAATACTGACCCCTGCACTCTGTGTTACATAATACTGACCCCTGCACTCTGTTACATAATACTGACCCCTGCACTCTGTGGTACATAATACTGACCCCTGCACTCTGTGTTACATAATACTGACCCCTGCACTCTGTGTTACATAATACTGACCCCTGCACTCTGTTACATAATACTGACCCCTGCACTCTGTGGTACATAATACTGACCCCTGCACTCTGTGGTACATAATGCTGACCCCTGCAGACTGTGGTACATAATGCTGACCCCTTCACTCTGTGTTACATAATACTGACCCCTGCAGTCTGTGGTACATAATGCTGACCCCTACACTCTGTGTTACATAATACTGACTCCTGCACTCTGTGGTACATAATGCTGACCCCTGCAGTCTGTGGTACCTAATGCTGACCCCTACACTCTGTGGTACATAATGCTGACCCCTGCAGTCTGTGGTACATAATGCTGACCCCTGAATTCTGCTTTATGTGTTAAGTGCTTTTGCACTCTGTGTCGCTTACTCCTGACCCTCTGTACTCTGAATTACTCCTGACCCTCTGTACTCTGAATTACTACTGGCCCCTGTGTTACTACTGACCTCTGTACTCTGCGTTTCATACCTCTGAATTCTGTGTAATTGCTGACCTCTGAACTCTTCATTACTTATTACCGAGCTCTACTTTATTTACTACTGACCCCTGCACTCAGCATTACCTACCACTGTTACCTCCATTGCTGACCCCTGCACTCAGCATTACCTACCACTGTTACCTCCATTGCTGACCCCTGCACTCAGCATTACCTACCACTGTTACCTCCATTGCTGACCCCTGCACTCGGCAGAGCTCGGTGTACCCTCCACACCCCCCGGTTGGCGCAGAGCGTGGTGTGCCGTCCTCACCCCCCCCGATTGGCGCAGAGCTCGGTGTGCCGTCCTCACCCCCCCGATTGGCGCAGAGCTCGGTGTACCCTCCACACCCCCCCGGTTGGCGCAGAGCTCGGTGTACCCTCCATACCCCCCCAATTGGCGCTGAGCTCGGTGTACCCTCCACACCCCCGATTGGCGCAGAGCTCGGTGTACCCTCCACACCCCCCGGTTGGCGCAGAGCTTGGTGTACCCTCCACACCCCCCTGTTGGCGCAGAGCTCGGTGTACCCCCCCCCCCCCGATTGGCACAGAGCTCGGTGTACCCTCCACCCCCCCCCCGATTGGCACAGAGCTCGGTGTACCCTCCACCCCCCCCCGATTGGCGCAGAGCTCGGTGTACCCTCCACACCCCCCTGTTGGCGCAGAGCTCGGTGTACCCCCCCCCCGATTGGCACAGAGCTCGGTGTACCCTCCACACCCCCCTGGTTGGCGCAGAGCTCGGTGTACCCTCCACACCCCCCGGTTGGCGCAGAGCTCGGTGTACCCTCCACACCCCCCCGGTTGGCGCAGAGCTCGGTGTACCCTCCACACCCCCCGATTGGCGCAGAGCTCGGTGTGCCCTCCACACCCCCCGATTGGCGCAGAGCTCGGTGTACCCTCCACACCCCCCGGTTGGCGCAGAGCTCGGTGTACCCTCCACACCCCCGATTGGCTCGGTGAACAATGGCAGTGCCAGCTGAGCGCACACACTGAATACAACAATAAATTGCAGATGTTATCAGGATGAGGCCGGGATCTCCTCTCTCCGTAATCCGCGATATATTCGTTCAGCGTGGGTGCCGACTAATCTCTCTGATTCAGCCTGAAAGCCGCCATTGTCCCGTCCCGCGAGGATGGAGCTCTACTTGTGTATGTTAACAAGAGGCTTCCTCATGTAACACGACATTCCGAGGGAATTATCGCCCCCCCCCACCCCCCCCACCCCCCCACAGCGATCGTATTCCTCATCATGTAGACCAACGATTCCTCCAACTTCTAATAGCTTCTTACTGACAGGCCAGCAATGAGAAATGTGTGAAGGCTCTGGGAACAGCGAGAGGCAGGTGACCCCCCCATCCGATACAGGTGACCCCCCCATCCGATACAGGTGACCCCCCCATCCGATACAGGTGACCCCCCCATCCGATACAGGTGACCCCCCCATCCGATACAGGTGACCCCCCCATCCGATACAGGTGACCCCCCCCCATCCGATACAGGTGACCCCCCCATCCGATACAGGTGACCCCCCCATCCGATACAGGTGACCCCCCCATCCGATACAGGTGACCCCCCCCATCCGATACAGGTGACCCCCCCCATCCGATACAGGTGACCCCCCCATCCGATACAGGTGACCTCCCCCCCCCTCCCCATCCAATACAGGTGACCTCCCCCCCCCCTCCCCATCCAATACAGGTGACCTCCCCCCCCCTCCCCATCCAATACAGGTGACCTCCCCCCCCCCTCCCCATCCAATACAGGTGACCTCCCCCCCCCCTCCCCCCCATCCAATACAGGTGACCTCCCCCCCCCCCCCCGCCCATCCAATACAGGTGACCCCCCCCCCCATGCAATACAGGTGACCCTCCCTCCCGCCCATCCAATACAGGTGACCCTCCCCCCCCCCATCCAATACAGGTGACCCTCCCCCCCCCCCCCCCCCCCCATCCAATACAGGTGACCCTCCCCCCCCCCCATCCAATACAGGTGACCCTCCCCCCCCCATCCAATACAGGTGACCCTCCCCCCCATCCAATACTGGTGACCCTCTCCCCCCATCCAATACAGGTGACCCTCCCCCCCCCCATCCAATACAGGTGACCCTCCCCCCCCATCCAATACAGGTGACCCTCCCCCCCATCCAATACAGGTGACCCTCCCCCCCATCCAATACAGGTGACCCTCCCCCCCATCCAATACAGGTGACCCTCCCCCCCATCCAATACAGGTGACCCTCCCCC